TATAATAACAGCCAGTCACTTTATATCAACAAATAATTATGCTTCCTGCTGAAATTAAACATTCCAGTAAACAAGGATTTTCATTTAAATTGAAAATAGCCTGTTAACTTCAGTTGACTGTTAAGGATTTATAAACAGTGTTTCAGTCATTTTAAACTGAGCAAATATTTCCAGTGTAAAGTAATTATTGACATTATAAGAAATAATTAGCATGTTATATTGTGTCAGTAAACATGGGGTGGTCAAGTAAAACTTGCTCGATTACATACTTTAAAATGATTGGTTCAGTTGGTAATTATAATGATATGACATGTGAAAAATGTAATCAGAATCAGCTAATTGATTTTATATTAATTTCATATTAAGTTTTTATTAATAACTCAGTCATTGTTGTGGCATTGTTTACGTGGAAATTTACTGATAACAAGTGTCCTTGTCTCGAAAATTGTTAGCCTCTATACAACTAAATAAAGGTAGCTTCTAGCTGTTAGTTGTGTGTTTGAATTTGTACATATACATTTGTTGAGTATTAATTCTTTAATGCCATTTGACCAGTACTTTGAATGAATTGTACACTCAGTAAACAACACATAAACATAAGATGGACATAGCAATACCACTCCGACATCAGGCCTTATATATTAAGTAAGTAAATGAGTAAGTAAAGGCTTTATTAATCAAGTTTCCCAATCTTCCATGTGGGCCTGTAAGGAAAACTTAAGTGTTGAAAGAATTGATAACCAAATAAATTGATATGTTGTTTGGCATGGAAACAATGAAAAAAGTCTAGAAGATTCTTCATATTACTTGGAACAACTGTTTGCAGCCTGATATGATGTCATATGAACTTGTGGTTCAACCCTTTTTCTAATTTTCTTTTAAATTTAATTTTATGATAATTATTATTCCATCATTGCCAGACAAATGATTTTAAATTGAAGATATTGAAAAGGGTAACAGGAAACTTTGATTGATGTCTAGCTTCATATTAAGTTATTAAATCAATAGACAGATGGAGAAAGAAATGAGTGCATGTTATGTTTAAAAAAAAGTAACTGCCCACTGGACTGTCTACCTTTTTGAAATATTATATGTCCATGTTTACATTGAACATTTTGGTCTATGGGTTGTAAGGTGATGTTGTTTACTGTTGTTTGTCCTAATCGCTATACTATTTTAATTTTAGTTATGAATATTGCCAACTATTGTTTTAAAATGGGCAAAGTTTTGTTGAAGTTATTATCAGTTAAAGTGTGAAGTTACTATCAATTATAGAGACTAGTATTAGTCTATTTGACTGATATCTCATGTCTGCTTTGAGTTTTTATGTTCTTACACTCAGTTTTTTTGTTCTTTATACTCACAGTTATCATTTTACATTAAATGAAAAGGTGTGACTCAAAACACTCATTAATTGAGTTCAATTAAAGTTCAATTTAACAGACTGATACTCATAACCCATGACAGTCATCAAGAGAATGGCTATTACTATGAGGTTATTATTATCAAAGAAGACATGGGCAGGGATATTGAAATCTCGTTAAAGAGGTCACCGAGTATTGATTGGTACCTTTTGATTATGCACCGTTTATCTATTTGATTTTACTTGTAAAATAATTTGATCGTGATCGTTTGGGTTGAGCCTTTGAATTGAAAAATTATTGCAACTTAATCAATTTAATCATTAATTTACTTTTGATATCTTATTTTGCACACAAACAACATCTTCATATTGAGCAGGGTAAATCAGGGGAAGTTGATGTATGTCTTGCGAGGAAAGGTTAATTGTATTTTGAAATGTTTAGACACTGTTTAAACTTTTTGTTATTAGGTATATTAACCTGCTATGTATTTCTATAATGGATCTGTTCAACTTTAAATTTGAAACAGTCTATTTGGATTTCAATATCAAAATACAAAAATTGAGCTGCCAACCGGATAGAGCCTGGGCTGGAGGTTATAAAACTTTTTTTCCAAGTTCTGTTTCAAATCTCAGGATTTTAATTGGTCAGTGAACATTTTGTGGCAGTTTCTGACCAATCAAACACATGAAATCTGTGTTTGAGCTCAGAAAATTTATTTATAATCTTGGACCCAGGTCAGACTGCTTGGATGTGCAGACTGGCCTGGCTCTATACTGGTGGCAAAGGCTGATCTATTTTGGTTCCAGCAGTTAAATGGTTAACCATTAACCTGTTAGCAGCAAACTATTATTATAAAAAAAGTATGAACAATTTTTAAAAATACCTGTAATTAATTTTTTAAAACATTTAAAATTTAAAAAGTTTCCTGATTTTTTTAAATTTATAAAAAACATTTCAATCTACGTTAACTCAAGTGTATTTATTTTTAATGAAATTTTATATTTTGTTGACTAGGAAGTGTTTTTTTTATGCCACCGCAGCATCTGCGATGCGGTGGCATATAGCGATTCCAAAAGGAATTATAAGAATAAATTTTAAAAATCTTCTTGTAAAGACCCAAAAGGCCTAGAGCTTAGATATTTTGCATAAGGCATTGTCTGGTAGACCTCTAACAAGATTGTTCAAATTATAGCCCTGGGGTCAAAATTGGCCCCGCCCCGGGGGTCATTGATTTTCACTATATACATATAGTAAAAACTTAAAATACCTTCTTGTAAAAACCAAAAAGAATTAGAGCTTAGATATTTTGCATAAGGCATTGTCTGGTAGACCCTTACCAAGATTGTTCAAATTAAAGCCCTTGGGTCAAAATCGGCCCCGCCCCGGGGTCATTGATTTTCCCTATATGTATATATAGTAAAAACTTAAAACACCTTCTTGTAAAGACCCAAAATACCTAGAGCTTAGATATTTTGCATTAGGCATTGTCTGGTAGACATCTTCCCAGATTGTTCAAATTATAGCCATTGGGTCAAAATTGGCCCACCCGGGGTCATTGGTTTTCCTTATATGAATAAAATTAAAAACTTATAGTAAAATCTTTAAAAGGATTTCTTCTTGCAAATGACAAATGCTAGAGGTTAGATATTTTGCATGAAACATTGTGAAGTAAACCTCTAGCAAGATTGTTTAAATTATAGCCCTGGGGTCAAAATTGCCCCCGCCCTGGGGGTCATTGATTTCAATATATACATATAGTAAAAAATAAAAAAATCTTATTGTCTGAAGGTACAAGGCTTAGAGCTTTAATATTTGTTAAATAATATCATCTAAAGGTACTCTACAAAAGTTATTCAAATTTTGCCTCTTGTGTCAAAATTAGCCCCCCCCCCCCGGGGGGCCATAGGTTTTCCTTATATGTATATAGTAAAAACTTAAAAAATCATCTTCTCTAAATTTACAAAGGCTAGAGTTAAGATATTTTGCATGAAACATTGTGTAGTGAACCTCTTGCAAATTGTTCAAATTATAGCCCTGGGGTCAAAATTGGTTCCTCCCCGGGGGTCATTGATTTTCATTATGTACATATAGTGAAAAAATAAAAAAATATTTTTGTCTGAAGGTACAAGGCATAGAGCTTTGATGTTTGATATATAATATCATTTATAGGTCCTCTACCAAAGTTGTTCAAATTTTTCCCCTGGTGTCAAAATTGGCCCTGCCCCGGGGCAGTGATTCTCATTATGTACACATAGTAAAAACAGAAAATAAAACAAATGTTTTCTGAATGGGAGAAGCTATAGCTTAGATATTTGACTTGAAATGTTGTTTGGTGAACCTGTATCAAAATTGTTTTGAATTAAACCCTTAGGTCAAAATTATTGCCTTGCCCAAGGGGACAGTGACCTACTTCCTTGCCCTTTGATGTACAGCAACGACATTTTGACCATGTGCACAGTTTTAGTTGTAAAATTGAACTTTGATATCAGGTGACTTAGATTTTGATGATGTGACCTACTTTCTTGTCCTTTGATGTACAGCTATGAAATTTGAACCATGCGGTGGCATAGCATTTTTCTCAAATGCAATCTTGTTTTATTCAAACGTCACAATTTATAGACATTTGATTTAAATGCATGGAGTCTTATTAATTGATTTTTCAGTGCAGACAATTTACAATTAATGTTCTCTTTTGTATCACTACATTTAGAACTATTTTCTGACATAAAAGAAGCTCTTATTACGTTTAAATGGATTGATAACGCCTTTTAATAATATTGTTATTACGTCATGATATGCTTTGTGTTTAAATTCATGATAAATTGTAAAATGATACATGTTCTTTTTTATGTTATTTATTATGAGTAGAGGTAATGTTTTAATGTTGGTACAGAAACAGCATATTGCATGGGTTCAAACCACATAAAGGGGAAATTTTTGTTTCCTTGAGCAAGAAACTTTACACTTATTGCTCAGTACTGGTTGGTTCCAGGAACAGATTCGAAAGTTTGTCTTTAAGCTTATAGCATCCTACACAATCAAACTAAAATAAATTCAGTATAAACATAACGACACATTATGACTTACTGAACATTACTAAACAGAATAACTTGCTTTGATAATGTGGTACATGTCTATAGCCATTCTAATGCTTAATTGATAACCCGATGAAGATCTTGTAGACAAAAGTAAAGTAGATCATATAATAAATGGCTATATAATTTAGATCTAGCAACCCTGGTGTTTGACATGTTGTTCTATCCTCCTCCCAGGTATCTTCATTAATAGACTCTTGTTATGTTAATAAGTTATCTTCTTTTTTGTTATAATGCACAATTAACATGTTAGACTACTTTTTAAAATTAATTTGTCATGTTTTAACACCCTTTTCTTTTGAAAGGGACTTGGGTCCACCCTGAATTTGGGAAACTAGTCAGTCAAGGAATTAGGAAAATTGAGTCAAAATGATTGTCCTACAACAAATGCCAAGTGCTAAAAATATTGCATAAACAGCTAGAGAATCATAAGGAATTTTCAGCAGTAAAGTTTCAATGCTTTAATGTGTTGTTAATTAAAACTCGGGCTGAAAAATCTTATATTATGGTTAACTATACATGTGTTTTTCTGTGTTTTCAGTTGTGCTGGAACCTCAGGTGGACCTAAGACGCCATGTGCTGCCGGCACCTACTATTCTGGCACAGGTGCAACCTCCTCCGGTGATTGTGTGAGCTGTGGAGCAAACACATTCAGTACTGGAGGAGCAGCGGCCTGTACGATATGTCCAGCAGGTTACAGTTGTACCAGTACATCACAGACAGCTTGTTCTAGTGGTGAATATTCTCTAGCGGGTGAAACTTCCTGTACAACTTGCCCAACAGGAAAGGTTTGCTCATCAACCACTACTGCACCACAGGTAAGTGAATTTCTCTCATAGTCACTGTAGACTGAAAATTTGGTGCTAAATGGTTAAATGAATTATATGGTATAGTATTGAGCTAATTAATTTGTATTTTATGAAAACCATATTGGTGAAAAAAAAATTCAACAGTTATGAAAACCTGTCTGTTGTAACTACCACTATTATCTTTTACCAAAAAAAATTGCAAACATAATTGTTTAGCTCTAATGTCTACTTACAAAAAAATCTCTGAACCTAAAGGTTTATAATTTTATTATGTTTAATATCTGTGATTTTTTATATGTGCAAATAATGAACCAACATTGTAATACTGTTACTTCTATGTTTGTCTGTCTAGTATTTTATTGTCATATTTGAGCATGGTATATTTTAGAACTGTAATTCCGGGGAGGAACCAAATGGAGCTCAAACTGCTTGCAGCACTTGTACATCAGGATCTTACAGCACAGATGGTACATCATGTACGACATGTCCTAAAGGTATGTTGTTCTTTAATGCCAACATTTTACATTACACCATCATGTACCACATGTCCTAAAGGTATGTTGTTCTTTAATGCCAACATTTTACATTACACCATCATGTACCACATGTCCTAAAGGTATGTTGTTCTTTAATGCCAACATTTTACATTACACCATCATGTACGACATGTCCTAAAGGTATGTTGTTCTTTAATGCCAACATTTTACATTACACCATCATGTACGACATGTCCTAAAGGTATGTTGTTCTTTAATGCCAACATTTTACATCACACCATCATGTACGACATGTCCTAAAGGTATGTTGTTCTTTAATGCCAACATTTTACATCACACCATCATGTACGACATGTCCTAAAGGTATGTTGTTCTTTAATGTCAACCAATTTACATTACACCATCATGTACGACATGTCCTAAAGGTATGTTGTTCTTTAATGCCAACAATTTACATTACACCATCATGTACGACATGTCCTAAAGGTATGTTGTTCTTTAATGCCAACAATTTACATTACACCATCATGTACCACATGTCCTAAAGGTATGTTGTTCTTTAATGCCAACATTTTACATTACACCATCATGTACCACATGTCCTAAAGGTATGTTGTTCTTTTAATGCCAACATTTTTACATTACACCATCATTACCACATGTCCTAAAGGTATGTTGTTCTTTAATGCCAACATTTTTACATTACACCATCATGTACCACATGTCCTAAAGGTATGTTGTTCTTTAATGCCAACATTTTACATTACACATCATGTACCACATGTCCTAAAGGTATGTTGTTCTTTAATGCCAACATTTTACATTACACCATCATGTACGACATGTCCTAAAGGTATGTTGTTCTTTAATGCCAACATTTTACATTACACCATCATGTACCACATGTCCTAAAGGTATGTTGTTCTTTAATGCCAACATTTTACATTACACCATCATGTACGACATGTCCTAAAGGTATGTTGTTCTTTAATGCCAACATTTTACATTACACCATCATGTATGACATGTCCTAAAGGTATGTTGTTCTTTAATGCCAACATTTTACATCACACCATCATGTACGACATGTCCTAAAGGTATGTTGTTCTTTAATGCCAACATTTTACATCACACCATCATGTACGACATGTCCTAAAGGTATGTTGTTCTTTAATGCCAACATTTTACATTACACCATCATGTACGACATGTCCTAAAGGTATGTTGTTCTTTAATGCCAACATTTTACATTACACCATCATGTACGACATGTCCTAAAGGTATGTTGTTCTTTAATGCCAACATTTTACATTACACCATCATGTACCACATGTCCTAAAGGTATGTTGTTCTTTAATGCCAACATTTTACATTACACCATCATGTACGACATGTTTCCTAAAGGTATGTTGTTCTTTAATGCCAAAATTTTACATCACACCATCATGTACGACATGTCCTAAAGGTATGTTGTTCTTTAATGCCAAATTTTACATCACACCATCATGTACGACATGTCCTAAAGGTATGTTGTTCTTTAATGCCAACATTTTACATTACACCATCATGTACGACATGTCCTAAAGGTATGTTGTTCTTTAATGCCAACATTTTACATTACACCATCATGTACGACATGTCCTAAAGGTATGTTGTTCTTTAATGCCAACATTTTACATTACACCATCATGTACCACATGTCCTAAAGGTATGTTGTTCTTTAATGCCAACATTTTACAATCACACCATCATGTACGACATGTCCTAAAGGTATGTTGTTCTTTAATGCCAACATTTTACATTACACCATCATGTACGACATGTCCTAAAGGTATGTTGTTCTTTAATGCCAACAATTTACATTACACCATCATGTACGACATGTCCTAAAGGTATGTTGTTCTTTAATGCCAACATTTTACATTACACCATCATGTACGACATGTCCTAAAGGTATGTTGTTCTTTAATGCCAACATTTTACATTACACCATCATGTACGACATGTCCTAAAGGTATGTTGTTCTTTAATGCCAACAATTTACATTACACCAATGTTTGTTACTCTCAGTTTATTATAACACACATACACTGATACGGATGCTGTGTAAATTGTACAGGTACATATGTTTGATAAAGATATAAAATGCTTGATGACAATAAACATATGTGAATATAATTATTTAGCTTTTACAGAATTTATTTTAGTTTCATAGTATAGGAAGATATAAACTTATAGACAAACTCTTGAATCTGTTCCTGGAACCAACCTGATACCTGGTGCAGTATTATAGGCAATTGGTGAAAAATTTCTTGTAAACAGCAGCTTTCCCCTACCCAAGCAGCTAGAGCTCCTTACATTACTAGTCAGACACTTTAACCAATCAGCCATGCTTCCATACTATACTGTAAATATAATACATCATGGTATGTAACTGTACCCTTACAAGCATGTTATGAATAAATGCAGTAAGAATGTGTCCTTTGAAATACAAATGTACTGTAACAATATTTGTCCTAGTTTACAAATGTACCGTTAATGTAACTGTGTCCTTGAGCCTGCAACTCACCTGATTTCTGCCTCCATTACCTTTATAATATTATATAGTATTAAAACTTCACCTTTTTAGCTTTTAATGAAAAGATTGTGCTTTCAAAATCAAGATGTAAAATGTTTTTCTGAAAAAAAGATATCAATGAACTTTATTTTATGTTACATGATAATGTAATAATGTATAACTGAAGAAACTGAAGTTGTACAATCATGTAGTGATGTCAAATAGTCTAAGTTACCATATTTTTTCAAACTTTCTCAGTGATGTCATCTAATTTACAGGAACGTAGATCTGTGTAATAATGTTATAACTGTTATGACAATGTAAATGTTTAAGGTTACATATAAATATTAGTTCAACTAATTGTACTGCGCGACAAGATATTGTGCTATTTTCGTGTCTTGGCAATATCTCGCCTTTACAAAAGTGAGATTCTGCCCCAGAACGAAAATATCTCAGAATTAAGCTTTGGCACGTCAATATATTTTGACTAATATAAATATTTTAAAATGTTCTTACTGTATCATAAACATTTAATTCACTAATATATTTTAGGCCATAAATGTCCAACCAGTGGAATGGCCAATCCAACAGAATGTCCTGACGGGGAGGTACAGACGAGTACAGGTCAAGCGTCATGTTCTCAGTGCTCAGCAGGAAAAGATTGTTCTGACAAAACAACAGAGACAGACTGTGCCGCAGGGACTTTCAGTGCCGCAGGATCGAAATCTTGTACAGCCTGCGCTACAGGTATGTAAACTTGATGACCGTCATTTTATACTGCAAAACCAATCAATAGTTAAAAATATATAGATATGGACGGCCACATTTCTTTTTGTGTTGCTCTAGAAATATATTTATTCAGTTTTGTATTTTATTGGTTGATTAGAACAACTGTAACTTCAGTCAGATTATCTGATAACTTACATTACTGTTTGGTGATATAAACTAGATGTTTAAACAAAATACCCCTAGTACCTTATCAAACATTATGTTTTACTTGTGTTTTTATGCATTTTAATCTTTAAATAATGGGAATCAAGACTCATTTTTTTGTTTTTGTAAAAAAATTCTTGAAATAGATAAAATAATGTTGGATAGGTTAATTATTTGTTTTAATATTTTGATTACGAATTTGTTATTGGATATATAAGTACAGCTACACTGTACAATAATCAAAACTCTTCAATTTATATCATTATGAAATACGCAAATCTATAATATTAATTTCCTCATTACTTACAATATATTCTTTTACTTGACCTTCTGTGTTAATAGATAAAAACCAAGTTCTATAATTTAATATTTGATTTTTTGAAAATCAAATATCTCACATGTTTAACAGTTTTTTAAGAATATAAAAACTAAATCTGATATGAATTTTGGCCTTGTTTCAGATCTCTCTGAATTTTCTAATTTTAACTATCACGATATTTCGGTCACGTTATTTTGTAATACAAATTTAAAAGTCTTTCTTGTAACAGTATACAATGACTTTGAATATGATCGTCACCTTGATGTTTTAATTGGAAAGACGTAAAGATAAACACAAGTTAGCGCGTGTATAAAATATTGCCCTCCACAAAGAACCCTACATTTATATCGGGTTTTGTCAAAAGATTTATTTTGGTTATTGTCAGACTTTGATATTTATCAAAGAACCTGATTTGGCAACTGTAAAGAATCAATTTAATTACCTATTTAAATATTTTGACAGAGAGAATTGTGAAATAAAATACCAAAGAAATTTTATAATAAACATTTATTTTTAGCTCGACTTTTCTATGAAAAGGGGAGCTATCCTACTCGCCCCGGCGTCGGCGTCGGCGTCACACCTTGGTTAAGTTTTTCGTACCACCCCACTTTATTTCAGAAGTATTACAAGTATGGCTTTGAAACTTACCATACTTGTTCACCATCATAACCTCCATCTACAGACAAGAGTACATAACTCTGTCAAGGTTTTTGACAGAATTATGGCCCTTTTTTGACTTAGAAAGTGTATTGAGCTTGGTTAAGTTTTTTGTACCACCTCACTTTATTTCAAAACCATTGGAGGTATTGCTTTGAAACTGACCATACTTGTTTACCATCACGACCTTCATCAACAGACAAGAGGACATAACTCTGTCAAGGTTTTTGACAGAATTATGCCCCCTTTTTGACTTAGAAAATACATTGAATATGGGTAAAATCCACTTATTGCCTTAACCCTTTGAGATATTGCTTTGAAACTTTTAATGCTATTTCACATCATTACCCCCATCTGTACGCAAGAGAAGGTAACTCTGTCAAGGATTTGTTTTAAAAATTAAGGCCTTTTATCGACTTAGAATCTTGGTTAAGTTTTTAGTACCAGTCCACTTTTTGACTGAACTGTTTGAGATATTAATTTGAAAGTTGGAATACTTGTTTACAATCATGATTCCCAAACATGTCCAGGAGAAGGTAATTCTGTCAAAGATTTTATTTGAATTATGGCCCTTAACTGTCAATGTTTTGTATTATAGGCAAGCACTAAAAAACTTAAAAAATCTAAAAAAATTCATTCCTATCCACTTGTTCACTTTACCATAAATTATGTCATAATAAAATAATTCTTCACTAAATATCTTAATGCTCATGGCCATTGTTCACTTTAAAAATACAGAGATTCTTGTATTGCCTTTTACTGCAAAAACTTTTTTTATTGGCAAGCAATAAAAAAGTCGAGCGCGCTGTCTTACGGACAGCTCTTGTTTTATTAAAGGTACAGTCAAACTTAATGTTCACTTTTTTTTTAATCAGAAATAATTTTAGTTTATACATGTACTTTGAAATATACATGATGTAAAAAAGACATTTAACATAAAAAAAAGAAATAAAAGTTCTTAATTTTGTTCTAAATATTATTTAATCAATTTATATATTTTGTCTATATGTTTTCTCTCTTGTTACACAATTCAAGAGAAAAAAGAAATAAAATGATTTTGAAACTTTAAATTGAAATACATGTATATGCCTGTAGTAACTGTCTAATATCAGAATTAAGATCAATTTTTTCTTTCACAACAAGAAGAAAACTTTTTATTACATAGTAGTACTTTTAGGGCTGTATCAGTTTAGGTACCCTACAGTTCTAATTCACTTATATCCTTTTCAAATTTCAATAATCAAATATTCAAAACAAATATCTTCATTTTACTTTACATATAATATATATAGGTTTTTTTTTAAAACCTGACTTATGAATTCATACTAGTCATTTTACTGATATAAAGATAACAGGTTTGTCTAATTTTTGCTTTGAACTATAAAATATGGTGTAATATAAATAACTAGGAAGTTTTAAAACATTTGAAAAAAGTTTAAGATTGCATGTCTGTCAGAACTACAGTTACGTTTCGTAGTTCTTTAAAGACAAAATCAGCAATTCCAATCTGACCCTGATATCTTTGAAGGTTTTAGGCAATAGACCTACTGTATTAAAATGAGTGTATATTACATACTGACTAATTTACAATTCAATATAATTTTATGTCTATGTTTCATGCTGCAGACTCTTAACATAACACATGAGTAAATGTCAGCCGTACCAAATCTGTCACCCTGAATGCAAAATTTTTCACAAATAATGCTGGCAGATTAGCTAGCAATCCAGTTTTTGTCTGCCATTTTTAGCTCTGTTAACATGCCCAACTGCGAATGATCCAAAGCAATGCAGTTTGATATATTGGAAGTTGGGTTATTTGTACCCCTTACTGGTACATCTATTTAGAACAAATGCAATCTTTCAGTAATTAGGTTTTACTTTAATTTGTTCTAACTTAGGATTAAATGTAAATATATTGAACTTATGTCTGAAAATTTAGGTTATGTTATAAACAATGACAGTATTCTGACTAAAGTTACAGTTGTTCAAATAGTGTTACAGTCTTGAAATCCTTAGCAGGCAGATAAAATTCCTGCTCCCTATATAAACATAAGAATGTAAAATTTTGCAAAAGCTTTGACTGATGGAATAAGGCTTGAGTTAGGTTTAAGGGTTTAAGCTTAAACTGGTACTTGTGAAAGCTTAGCTTAAAGGCTTCATGGTATGAGCTTTATAGCTTCTTGGTTTTGGCATGGAATTATTATTGTAAAGACTTTTTTATGGTTTTATCTGTACATTTATTTAGCCTGCTGCAATTAAGTATGCTAGTTTGTAATACCATTACTCATGTATCTTTTTCTTTCAGGCTAATGATTTTAAAGGCTTTTAGGTATAGCTTATTTAAAAATGTTCAGGATTATGTTTAATCAACTTTATTTTTTACAGTATTTTTTTTTAATGTGTAGATTTATTTTTATTGAAGATTCTGTTTCAGAAATGTCCTTCTATAGGACAATTATAGTTTTATATACTCATATGAATGATAAGAACTCAAAAGTACATTTACTAAAAACTTGTTATATATCACAAATGCAAGAGCAGATTTCGATGCAGTTATTTTTTAGAATGTTTTATGTTAAAATGTGGTAGCAGAAGATCATGAATGTACAAATATCTTAAGTAAAACAAATCTGATTGTCTTTTTCAATCATTTGTCCTTTGGAAATAAATTATAGCAAAGAAAATATTATTTTCTGTCAGGGTTTTATAGTACTGCTGGTTCACAAAATTGCACAATATGTGCAGGAGGTAAAAATTGCTCCACATCCGTTGACGGGTCAGAGCCTGAAGACTGCCTGGCTGGGTATTTCAGTCAGCCCGGAGATATCACATGCACATCATGTGATCAGGGCTATTACAGTCAGACTGGTTCCAGTGAGTGTCAAGTTTGTCCAGGTGGGAAAAATTGTTCTGCTGAATTAGAGGGTTCCAGTCTACCAGACTGTGATGCAGGTTATTACAGTCAGACTGGTTTCTCAACTTGTCAAGTTTGTCCACTAGGCTATTATAGTGCCCCAGGATCAGACAACTGCCTTATTTGCCCTGCAAGAAAAAAGTGTAGGATAATAGACTTTGGGGGTTCTCTTATGATTTTGATTGCTGATTGTGAGGCAGGGTATTCTAGCAGGGAGGGGGAAATGGAGTGTTTTATTTGTGAGACTGGTTACTTTAGTTCATCAGGGTCAGAATTATGCTCTATATGTCCAGCAGGTAAAAACTGTAGTGATCAAGCTCTTGTTGATTTAGAATTACCAGACTGTCCAGAAGGGACATTCAGCACAGAGGGTGATGCAGTATGTCATAATTGTCCCTATGGTTACTATAGTAAATCAGGAGCTAACAACTGTACTATTTGTCCTCCTGGAAAGGAATGCAGTGGAAATGATCTAATAGATTGCCAGCCCGGTACATACAGTGTAACAGGGGAGATGTTTTGTACAAATTGTCCACAAGGTTACTATAGCAACAAAGGTGAAGGGTCATGTACATTATGTCCTGCAGGTTTTCAATGTGAAAATAGTAACTTGACAAAATGTCTTCCAGGCACATATAGTCAGGAAGGAATTTCTGTTTGTTTAACATGTGAGTCAGGATACTATAGTTTAGAGGGGGCTGAGAATTGTTCTGTATGTCCTGGAGGTAAAAATTGTTCAAAGATGGAAGAACCTCTTTCAGATTGCCCTGCAGGGACTGCTAGTAGGGAGGGGTACCTTGACTGCACAGTATGTCCACCAGGGTTTTACAGTGGTCCTGGATATACAGACTGTCAAATATGTCCAAGTGGTAAAAATTGCTCAAACCCGGCACTAACTGGTGGTGAGCTAGAACCATGCCCCAC